GCTACTGATAGTTCATATCCATGACAGTGCAGTCCTGCACACAAGTCTTCTGACAAGTGCTATTTGGAAAATCCAGAAAGAAGATACAACCTACAGCATTTGGGAGCATGTCAAAATTCATAAGGTTTTCCAATAAATATTTTGGCACTTGAATCTATGGACTTCAGCCAACTGTTCCCACTGAAAAGAATGATATCAAAAGGAACTCTTTTCACCAACATGCATTTTCCTTTTATAAGACCCCTCCAATTTAGTGAGGACGTGCTGAGATCTGGTACTGCGCAATAAAGCACAAGGGCTCAGTTATTACAGAACACAGTGCAGCTCTTCAAATTACATTATATAGACAATAAAATCCCTCAACTGCTGACCACTGGAAATTCTACTGAACAGGTCTAGTCTGAGATCAGGGTCAATCTCAGAAAGTCAGTAATTTAGCATTCCAAGTAGGAGTGCAAGCTGCTGTTACTTAAGGGAAAAATAGAGATGAAGCCATCCTTCTTAAGAAAATTCAAACAGGCACAGTTTCCCACAACAGAAATTATGGCCAAAAGTACAGCTAGTAAAAAAAAAATAAAATCTACTCAGTCAAAGCAGAAAAAAAGTGCAGAATGAAACCAAAAAAGAGAAAAAGAGATCTGGAATCTAGACAGCATTATGCCAGTATGAGACAGCCCAGAAAACTGTGACTATTTACACTCCACTGAAAGTACAAAACAGAAGGTTGTGCAGCTTTCCAAAAAGCACAGGTAACAAGACAGCCATACTTGCTACATTTTTCTTTTTTCTAAGTTCCTTATCAAGTAGTTCAATGACAAGTTATTCAAACTAACTTGATGGTCTGCCAAAACAATGACCATTATGAAAAGCACAGTATAAACACAAATCTCCCTTTTCCCCTGCTTGCTGGAGTGTTTTGTCTGACAGAATGAAAACTAATTTATTTTTTCAATATAATAATTTATTAAATCAATAAAACTGTTACTTGTTTTCTACTTACCCCTTTCTTCCCTGTAAATTCTATGAGCTATTTTGTCTAGTATGTTTATTTTCTGACTAAATGTTTCCATGTAATCATTCATTTCTGTAAACATTTCAGGACGATTTTTAACTCCTCCTCTCACTGAGGATGCTACAGCTCTGACGGTCTGTCCCATCCTGCTCAGCAAACTGGGACCCTGCTTCTTGTGTGAGGAGAGTTCCTAAAGACAGAACAAGCCATATTTACTTCCCTGTACTTTTAAAACTTCTCTGAAAAAAAATGCATACTTTAAAGCTTTTTTTTTTACACAAAACTAGATACATAAGCCTCTGAGTGTCTATTTAGTGTATGAATCTTACTCTAAAATTACTAGACCAGTGTCAGAACCGTACTTGTCATTAGCTAAGCTTTTCTGGGCAAACACCAGCATGCCATGTATCAGGATCTCACAAGAACGATTAAAGATGGCAGAGAACCTTTACCCTTTCATTCCTTAGAGTGAGTTAGCTAGTTTGCAATTTAGCCTTTTGAACAGGAAAGCAGAGGCAATGATTACACAAATAAGTCATTGAGAAAAGCAAACAACCTTCCTACTGGAAGAAGTAATCCATCTTTTTTTTTTAACTTTTTATATGTTGCTAGAATAACCTTTGCTGAAGTTCAGAGGCAGGCTTTTCTGAGTACCATACTCCAATTTTCAACTGCACACATCTTGCAAAAATACAACAGGAAATTCAAAGGCTGTGTTTTTCTTTTATGAGACTTTTTTTAAAAAGCCGATGAAAAAGACAGTGCCATGCCAAAAGAATAATTAATTTAAAATACTATTTTTCATATAATCTTGGAAGCTTATATGTATACCAAAAAGCAGGCAGAATTAAAATATTGCCAATTTGCCACAAAAATCCAAAATGCAGCAACAAAAACTGCTTTAGAAGGTACAGCAATATTTATCGCCACACGTATGATTATCAAAAGCACAGAAGAAAACATTGTCTTGGGAGATGAATATTCCATAAATCCCCTGCCTTCTTCTGATGCTTCTGTAACAAGCCCTGGGAGGGCACTACTCAATACTGAACTAGGGAGACTGCTGATACACTCTACTAACACAAGACGTGGTTTCACATAACTGTAAATAAAAATAAAGTCATTTTACCCAGGCCTGCGCAGTAAGAAAAATTTTGAAGTCTTCATTAAAAGTTAAAGTTGGATGATCAGCAATGCGGTTCAAAAATTTATGTAAAGCTTTTCTTCGAGTCTCAATGAATTCATCACTAAATCGTTCCACCATTCCTTTCATTATGAATTTTTCAGGCAATGGCTAAGGAAAAAAGAAAAAAAAATATTGCATAATTTGCATAATATTAAGGGTACTATAATAGTTCTACTTACTGAAACCCACAGGTATACCTTGTAGAAGCCACCATGCAAAAAACCTAATTGCCATAAAGTTATCACAGTCAACCGTGGAATAACATGGTTCTTGTAGCATACAATGCAGAATACAAGTACAGCTAAGAACGAAGAACATAAATTACTGGAAATGGCACAATTACAAATGTAAGAAATACCTTTATGGGATTTTTAATGATCACATATGTATAAAGCTAATGAAAGTAGGTTGGTTTAATGTTTGTTAGGTTTCAGAAACTGAAGAAAGGCCTCAAACTTCTCTGTATAAAACTGGAGCCATCTTATAAACAAATAAAAATAACTTAAGTTTTAGCAAACGAACAGGAATAATCAGTGTCGGATGTGCTTCTTCAAGTTTGCTCTTCAACCAAAGGAAATCCTGATAACGTCTTCGAACTTCATATTCACTGGAGTCAAATTCACCACGAGATGTCTGAAAACCAGAGGCAGAAAAAGCAGGCCCAGGTCAGAATACCAGAAAAAAAGAACAAAATAGATTTTGGAGAAAACTGAGTGCTTGAAGGGAAGGCATACATGACCCTATTTTCCCCAGGTTATCTGCTTTCTGTTTTTTAAAGTGTAGTGATCGACTGCTTGGAGAGATGAAACACATCCCATTTTAGCAAGAAATCAAAGTCCTTTTGTTAAAAAAAAAATAAGAAAAACAAGCACTAAAGTGCACAAAGAGTGACTTATAATAATGAGCCTACCACGATGTTTCCAAGGTATTTCAATCATTATTTTAGTGTGGCATTTTCCTTTTAGCAACCACAGTTAGGTTCGTTACTTTTAGGGCACTTCTTCTGAAGTGATTAGTGATCTATGAGTGAGGAAAGTCCATTTTTCAGCATTTTCAAAAAAAACCCAAATAGCTGACATACATCCTTAGACCTGCTGACACTAGTCAACAATCCCCACATTCAAAACATGAAAACCTCAGCATATCACAGCAATAACGCTTCTTGCGCTGCTTAATGGATTCTGTGTTCCATCATCAATTCCAGTTTTGTCGCCCTTTGTTAGAACTTGCCAACAAACCTTTAATGCCTAGAAGAAATGCTTATTACAGTGTTGCAAAATTGTCAGACCATGAGATTCATTTTATCACTGCCCTATCTCCTAGAATCAAGCCACAAAGAACCCATGTTTTCATTAAAGTAATGCGTGCTGTTTAGCATTCATTGTTGCACGGAGATTTATAATGCGATGCAAGTAAATTCTGAAAACCTCAAAACACGCTTTTGTAATCTAAACAGTTTTGAGGGTTGAATAAAAAATTTTCAAGGTATGTGGGAGGAATGCTATTACTTTATCAACAACCAGCACTTCAAATTAAACATGATAAGAAAGGATAGAATAGATAAAAAAGCAAAAGCAATCTGCCTCACAGCCCTTCCATACTTGCCTGTAGAAAAAATATTCTCTCATCTACAAAAACATGCATAAAGTGAAAATTATTGCTAGCAACCTAATGAAGATAGCTCTCTTCCTACTCTTTAAATATTTTATGAAGAATTGATATCTTCTCTTATTTAAGGATGAATAATTCCCATTTGAAAATTTGGTTTTAAATGACTCTTTTAAAAAGAACTCAAAGTAAAATAAATTAACAGTGCAATTCTCAAAATTCAGCCTGCAGAATATTTGCTGGTAATCCCAGAAGAGCTGGCTGGTCTCACAAGGCTGACTTTCGTCCTTATTTCCAGTAAATAATTTGCATTCAGGACAGCTAAAAATACACTTTGTTGTTTCCTAATATTACTTTTTCATTGTAGAATTGTGGCAGTTTCCCAAGAAATCATCTCCATCTGCAACTGTAAATGATACAAAAAGGTCCATGTGATAGTGGACACTGCAATTAGAAAAGGACAGAATTGAAAGAGTTTGTAGCAGGTAACATTTATGCAAGACAAAAGACTGGCAGCCTGCAAGTGATCCAAGTCATAAATACTTGGGCTAACATAGTGTCTTCAAACTGAATCAGTCCTTCTGCTGTTTCACATTCCTGGTGGATATCACAATAGAAAATGTTATTCTCCCATAGATCTGATTTTGCTGTTGCAGGATGATTAGCTATTTTCTCAGCATAAAGAACCCGAGCACTTATGTATACAAACTTATACTGAATTTTTTTCCAGAATCTACCACACATTTTCATACAGTTTTAGTGGTCTATAACTCATGGCAAAACCAGGGTATAATTTAAATTTAGTAATATCCCAGAGAACTGCATGGAAGAAGAGTGAAAATGCTGCTACTGTTACCAATGTAAGCCCTTGTAGCCATGAACAGATGCTTACCTTTGTGACCACTCTGTATGTAATAAATGTTTCAATGGCTGTAATGTGGCTTTCAGGATCATCAACTGTAATGAAGAGATCTCTTAATTCTGGTTCATCTTCAAATTTATACTGATTTATCATTGATGAGGGAGATATTGGCATTGAAGGACTGAATGAGTTTACCTCAGCCAGCGATGTATCCTACAGATGAGACATGAGAACATCCATATCAATATATCTCTGTACACAAACACACACGTCTCAGATGCTAAAATGCAAGCTTTTAAACAACCTGATAAAGCAGAGAAACCATAGAGCAGGTGAAAGAATTATATAGTACAGGGCAAATCTACTATCCTTTTCATTATTTACTTCAGTGAGGATGTAAGAAATGAGATTTATTCTAAAACTGATGAAGGAGTAAAATGCTACCATTTGAGAAGTGTGTTATGCATAGCTAGAAGAAGAACTTGCCTATGAATGGTAAAATCAGTTATGAATCCAAGCACCCAATGATTCTGTAGGATACTTACCTGCTTTATTAAAATTGTTAGGAGCCAGTTACTCAAGACTTACGAATTATCTCTAATTACCTGAACAGTGTGGATAAAACCTGATGATTTTAAAAGAAAACAGGACAAAATCCAAATCAGAATTTTTATTGGAATGGGACATTTCAGTCTGCCAATATTTTAAAATTTGAAATCGAAAACATTTTACAGAGACATAGATTTAATCCTTTAAAAAAAAAAACAAAACAAAAAAAACAAACAAAAAAACCCCAACAAACCAGCAAAACAGTAAGTAAGGATGCAGAACAAATTTGCTGCTTAATTTCTAAAAAAAGTCAAACCACTGTTTTGCTGAAATGGAAAACCACTTTTTGATAGCACCAACCACTTCCGTCACAGCTCTCTAAGAATATGTCCTCATAGCAGCTGCCTCTGCTCGGTGTGTTCAGTGGTGACCACTCAAATGCTGAGAAATGGAATGGTATTGGAAACAGGCAAGAAATCTCATTAGGGAGATGCAAATCTGTATATGAGATCTACTAATCTAAAATCTTGAAGGATATAGTGACTAGGAAAATAAATTAAATTCACTAACTCCATAAAAAAGCACAATAAATGCATAATTATTAAAAATAAATTAGGGCAATTAAAAGAAATCACTATATTTTAAATATTTCATATATTTTTTCTAATATATCCAGTGCAATTAAGTATTTTCTTAACAAACTTTACAATTAATCTATTTTCTGGAAGTTTTCTAACAGTGTAGTTAGACTACACTAACTGCCAAGTGGCAGAGTTGCCCCTTCCGATTCCTTGCTAACTATGGAGCAAGGAGAAAGGGATGTTGGTAAACAGAAAACTGCTCAAAGGCCAGGAGTGGAAATGTGCGAGTCCACGCAAACTACAGTCACGGCATCATCCCGAGGCCGATCACGTGGGAGTGAAGAGCACACCACCGCAGTGCTGCTCAGCTTGGTGAAAAGTTGCTTTTTTCCTTTGAATTCAACTGGATCAAAACTTTATCTGGAACATGTTCTCCTTTGTTCTTTTCCTGCCTTAAACCCCATTGCCTACTGCCATCCCTCTCCTTTGGATTTATCGATGTACTCCCACAAATACTTCTACTGGAGTAGAAATTTATGTTGGGAATTATGCCCAGAAAGCACTGATGTACCAGTTCTCCTCCCATCACTTACATGCAGTTCTTCGCACAGGGAGACAAAACCCAGATGGAATACTAAAGGCAATGCTTTAAATATTATATAGCTGCTTACTCATACATCTGTCGGTCATTTTACTTTTACTCACGTGTGTCCCTATGCATGATTTCTGTACTGGTATCCAGCCAGCACTGTCCTGAGTGCTGGGGGATCGATGGAGAAGCTGTTTTCACTGCCCGCTAGCACTAGCTGGCCATGCTTTATACGAAGAATGAGGACTGCGAGTTCAGAGCAGCCCATGCGATTCAAAGTGCTGAGACAATGGGAAATTTCCAGGGAAATAAAAATGCATGTGAGCATGTAAGGGACTTGAATGGCCATATAACTTGAGGAATAATGACTCTGCAAGGCCTAATTTGGATCAAGGCAAACGTGTTTCATATTTTCTCATTTTCCATGGGCCATTAATACTTTAATGTTTCATTCTTCCTTCTAGGTTGCTACTAAAAATTGCTCTGTACAGGCAGGTTTCTGAAAGTATATTTTTATATGGAAGGGCTTATGAATATGTGGCTTGTGAAACAAAACATGGGCAATAAAAATCCAGAGCATAAGCAGGTCTTCAGTTTTCTTCCAATATAGCTCTAGTGTTCATCTGCACATGAATGAATGCATGTGAGTTTTAAACAAGCATCTGTTTCTTTATCCTCATGATACTTCAGGTTTAAGCTTACAACGGTTCTGCAAGTTCATGTGACATAAGTCTGATGCCATCACAGAAACATGGTAAAAAAAAAGGATGATTTTCTATTTTCTATACAGCTGTAATTTTGTGGTTGAAACTATGTTTTTGTGTGCATACAGATGAGGGCAGAAGGAGTTTTGTGGCACAAGAAAAACAGACAATTCTTCTGGCTCTTGGGTTGCGTAACTTTTTGAAAAAATTTTTTTTTCCTCTTTACCCATGCAAAGAGTGTCAAGGCCCTGTCCCAGATAATGATGCCCTGTCCCACAAGTCCCCCAGCCCCACGTACCTGCAGGACCCCTTCTCCCTCCCAAGCCCTTTCACTCCTGACAGAGCAGCCGGCAGAGCTGTGTGTACTGATCAGCAAATAGGTTCATGCATTTTAATTTACTGGCCAGGATACCACACAGATAGAAAATCAACGCACTCCTGGCAGCATGAGGGACTTGTTCTGGGTCTCCTTCCTCTAATTCTTGCAGTCACCCTGTCTCAGTCTCACATTTGGCTGCAATTGGTCAGTAAGACTCCAAAATAAATAAGGGAAGGAAAACACTCATACAGCAGGAGCAGCCTCAAAGCAAAAGACATTAAGCCCTGGGTTTTGCCTAAACACTACTCCTCCCCAGAGCATAGGTCTTTCACTCAGGGTTGCTCCATGCCTCATCCCTCCCTCCCTCCCAGGGCAGATCCAGAGCCTGCAGTCTCCTGAGGCCAGGGATCCAAAGCAGGTCTGCAGATAGAGGACATGGTGGCAGAGTTTGTCTTATAAGAGAATAGCTCAGTTGTTGCAGCATTCTTCAAAGAAGCAAAAAGATTCAGGAAGACAGAACAGTTCCTTGGCCAAAAAAATCACTTATAAATCAGTCTCAAATCTCTGATCAGCTTGTTTTGGAAGAAAAATTACCCTCTCTGCAATTCTGAAATGGCATGTATATCTTTTCCAGAACTACCATTAATGAAGTTTTCTGCAATTATGAAATGGAGACAAACACTGTCAAGCAGAGTTTGAAAGAAGATCTGCTAAAGTTTTTAAGTATTAACCAAAGTGCTGACAGCTTTGTCAGTGCTAGGTCACGGTTAACAAGGAAGGCAAAGATTAACTGAATGGGTTTTGCAGTACATGTGGTACTCCATGCTCTGAAACAAATGGAAGAAAGCAGGTTGAAAACATAGTATTTGTGTGACTCATAACTCAAGCCCCAGAAGCTGTCTCTGCTAAAAAGACCTCGGAACTTTTTCCATGGTAACGGAAACTAGGATAAAGTGAAATGCACGTCATATCACGAAATGCTTCACCAGAGTTGCCGAAGAAGATGCTAGTCTGTAATATTTGAGATATGTCACAGGATACTGGGACAATGGTTTATGACACTATCAGGTTAAATGTCTATGAATTTTCATAAAATAAAAGCCCTGTGTTTACATCTTGAGTAATAACTTGGAGTATTAAGGTTGACAATTTTTAAGAATCTCATTTTTCACCATTTTGGTAGCTGGTACATTTCATTGACTAAATGGAGAAAGATGAAGTCGGTGTCAGCATCGGGCACCAAGCCCTGCGCCGTGGCTGTGGTCCTGCTTCGCCTGCAAATGCTACACCACTACCTTACGGACAGTGACATGAGAAACCCCACTAAGATACAATTTAAAACAAGGTGGTCCTGGAACAGTATGTTATGGAAAAAATGGGTTTACAAAACTTAGCCTGAAGCTACATTTAGCCTGTCAGTTTCCCTTGAATATACAGAACATGAACAAATGGGATGTTATTCTCAATCAACCTCACAGATTTTCATCAGCTCAAAAGATCAACCCTAAAATTGCACCTGAAAGCAGGCTGTGAATTTCCGGTCTATATATAACCACCAAACACAGGTGTCCAAGCTTTGGAAAGAATGGTGTATTTTCACATAATATGAGAAATTTTCTTGTTTGCAGGAATAAGTTATCATGTGCCATGCATTAATAGTAGTTCAGATTTAATATAAGAACTATTTGGCATGAATCCAGGCAGCAGAAATTTAAAGATACAGATATTTGCCATATCGCAGCGGTAACTCGTATCAACTCATATTGTTTTTATTTTTTATTCCCAAGGAGCATCGCTCTTGAAAGCAAGCAGCCTAACTGGCAATACGCTGTACTGACAGGCAGATACCTGCATGCAGAACTGCCTGAGCTTACCTAGTAAAAGCAAAAGGATTAAAAGTAAGAAACAAAAACCTAAAATTATATTTTAGCACTGCTTTTGCATGCAAGTTCAGTGAATCATTCATCTCTTTATGTCAAATAAAGACTGGTGCCTTCCTAGAAAATATGATTTAGCTAGACCCTAATTACACTTCAGAAAAACACAGATAACTTGGTGAAATTTAGCCTGTGTATTAAAGACCATTAAATCACCTAATAGTCTCTCCTGGCCTTAAAATGCATTAATTTCAAGAATTTTACTACAGTCAAGGTTTAAATACACTGCTCCTAAGAATGAAGCTTTTATTGCAATGTTTTTATTCATGCAGACCAAAAAATGTATCTCATTTACAGAACTATTACAAATACACAAAATTCATATTACATTGGTTCTACTGAAAATATTTTAGGTGTCACATTTTCAAACAGGAAACATATCTGCTATTTCTCTCCAATGTCACACATCCTGTCACAGTAGTTCAGAAGTCTCAGAAGGTGAACGGGGCCTTAGCCCCCTATATATATTTTTTTCCACCTTGGCTCTCGGTATGTTCTTGTTATATTTTAGATGCTGCCTTGATAATGCCAATAGATCCATG